ATCGAGAAATTATTTGTTTTTATATTGTTTTGCCGTACCCAAAATTTTCAAAAATGATATAGAAAACCCAAAATTATTAATCAGATACAGAATAAAAAAATACAAAGCCAACAAACCTCGGGCTTACACGAGGTTAACGATTCCTAGTACAATAATAATAATTCACAACTCAAAGATGTTTTGAATTGATTGGAGTCATCGTAAAGTCAATTGAATTTTTTTTTTAAAATATTTATAGGTCCATAAGGATTTATTTCATAATGCGGTTATATTGTGTTTATATAATTTTGCTTGAAACAAATATGTACAGTCCATAGATTTTACAGAGGAAGTGAAGAGAGAAAACTCATGCCGGTGTTTTCCGGTGAAACTTCGCTCAAGGTTGGGCCTCTTCCAGCGTCGCACCTTCTTCACGGTGGTCGGCTGGCTTTGACTCCGGTTGCTCGTGTTCTCTTCGACGGAGTTTCTGGCTTTGGGTTCCGGCGATGCATCTGACTCTCTGATGATCGCTGACTTTTATCTTTAACGACGGCACTTGTTCATCAGTGACGTTGTTGGCTTAGCTATGGATTTTATCCGGTTATTTTTCCTCGGGTTTTTTGATATGTGAATTGTTTCTGGTTTTTGGGAAGTGGTGGCTTGGTGTAGCGGATGAGATCTTGTCTCTGGGCGATAGATGCTCTCCGATGAATAGTGGTTCCGATCTGTGTAAAATTGCTTCTCTCTGTGACATCCAAGTTGGTGAGGATCACAGAGGCTTATTTCAACACATGTCCCTTAAGAAGGACTGGCCCTAGACAATGCCTAGTGAAACATTTGGTTTAGGTCCCCAAAAAATTTGAAGAAAATTATATGAGAAAAGACCCTCAAAAAAATTTTTAGACCCCCAAAATTTTTTTTTACATAGAAATCACCATAGGCCCCTAAAATCTCAGGGCCGGCCCTATCCTTAAGTCCTGGTGTGTCTAACACGTCAATGTGGGTTCAGCACCTCTGATGTTTTTTCTACGTGGGAAAGCGTTTGGGGCTATGGTTTTTAAATGTATGTTTGCTTTTCTGGTTTGGGTTTCGTGTTTTTATCTTTGTAATACGTTTGGGCTTTATCCTTTCGACTGTGACCTTTTAATAAAGATAAAATAGATGGCAAAAAAGATTTATGTACAATACCTCATGTGTGTGAGATATTCATATTTTCTCGATTACCCGATTTCTCAAATTTAGTAGATATAACGACAAAGATAATTAACATATTGTTCTTCATTTTGGAGATAGCTTCATTCTGTATTTTACAAGATAATTTTAAGAGTTTGAATTTTAACTCATTCCAAAGAGCTGAAATGTCTATGCAGATTCACTAACAAATAAGGTTAAAATCAAAGATGAAATATTTTTCATGTAAACTAACTGGATAGAGTTGTTCATCAGAAGAAAAAAATTACCATTTAAAATGTGGGTTAAGAATACGAATTGTTGACAGAAAAAGGATGTGCCTAAGCAATAAAGTTATTATCATCATTTAAATGTTGGCAGTAATATGTTGAAAAAAAAAAATGTTGACAGTAATATTAATATTTACTAGTATGGATTCGTGCTATGCACGGTGATATTTCTCCTTACAAATAAAACCAAGTTTCACTTATATACATACAACTAAAACTACTTTTATCATAAGGTGATGAGTATAAATAAACAAACCATTAACACTCGTCAGTTATCTCTGATTAGCCACACATAAAATTAAGTTAAATTAGTTTTTAAAATTACATTGATCTTAATAAGCTCACTGAACACAAATATTAGTTTGAAGCTTTTGTTTTACTTATGTATTGTTTTCATATGTTTTTTCCTAATTCTTATCTTACAATCTATAGCTCATTTCTTTTCTATTTTGTATTGTTCATTTCTTTATTAGATTCGGTATCAAAATACCCATCTAAGTATTTTAATGGTTTTTTCAATCTACATTTTGTTGTAAAAACTTGTACAGAAGGAAAATAATCAAAGTAGCACTTTTACCTTTTATCAAAATTTGTTCCCCATATATGACCATGTCTGCACCATGGCGTGTTCTATCTTCCTCCTTTATTCTTTTAGTTAGGTATTGTTCCAAGTCTCTTTGCACGGATTGAATCTCTAGTAATCCAGAGCCATCATATTCATTTTTTCTCCAATCTTTTTTGCCATAAAAGAGAAATATAGTGTCACTGACCAACGTTGAATTGGCCTAGTGGTCAGACCCGGCCCGTGGCACAAGCATGGTAATCAATGGCTTAGGGCTCAAAAGTTTTTTGAAGAAAATTTTTAGGCTAAGAATTTTTTTTTATGGTAAGAGAATGGCCCATTTTCTCTAATTTTAGTAGGGCCTAATTTGGGGTTGGGCCGACCCTGCTAGTGGTAAAATGGTTGCGGTTGTAACTTTCACCATTTAGGTTCAATTCATATTGAGAGGGACTATTTACAATGCTTAGGTTTCCGGTAAAGAAATGAAACCATTTTTTTTATCAAAAAAAAATATAGTGTCACTGGAGAATAAAATCTTCTGCAACTTGGCATTGTTCATAATATACAGCCTCGATTTTGTGTCTATCGTATTGAGAGTATAAGAGATGGAGGGTAAATGTCTCTAATTTGTTCTTTTATTGATTGAGACTTTGGCTGCCATTTGTTTACTCTCTTAGAAAAATATAGGAATAAGGTAAAATAGTTTGTGGAAGAAAGACAAGATCGTGGTAGTGGATACATGGGATACAAAATTTTTTTGTTGATATTATTTTATTTTAATTTATTCATTTTTAAAATTTTGTAAATGAATTATATGGGAAGATCTGATTGAAGAGCTAATTTGTGCTTTATTATATAAAGAATGTAATAAGCGTAAACGTCAGACAAATAGTAGATGGAAGCGACGAAACCGCTTAGCCGCCTACGTGGTCCTATTATCTTTTCCAGCCTTAATTGATGTTTATCCGGTCCAGTAAAGAGCCCAACTCTAATGTACTGTTAACTAAACGCCCACATTAGGCCTATTTATATATGTGTATTCTCTAGCCTTGACAGATGCGAGGTCTATGTTTTTTTGGTCGACCGATGTCTTTGTTTATTACAACTTATCAAATCATTTTTTTTTACCTTATCAAATCTTTGTTTACTACTATATCTTTCCCACAACTTATTAGGTATTTGTTTAACTCTGTACTTTGAAGTCATTGTTTATTTACTATTTAGTTTTGTTTGTATCTGGAAATGTCTTCTAGAATCACGTATTAGTGGGAAATATATATTTATACATTTCAAGTCATTAACAAAACTCAATTTTATTAGTAAATTAGTAACATGTTTCGCAGAGGAACACACCAAACACACCAAGATCAACTAAAACAGTACCACATACTGGACGTAGCAAACTATTGGTTTAAGCAAAACTGTTAGGTGTTGTTAGAGAATGTTTACATAATGTAATATTAACTTGTTTTACTTGTTTATTGAATTTTTAAATAAAAAGAACTCGGTCAGTTGAAAATATGCTAAGTGGAAGAAGAATTTCTCATATTTTTTGTTTGTCTTCCCACTAAAAAGTGGTTCTCAAAAATCTAGATGCTCTTCTTCCTTCTTACTTTTCAAATTTTATATTATTATTTTAGTCTTAAGAAATTGTGAAAAAAATAATTAATAATGATGTCATTATATTTCGAGTCCAACTAGATTACAATTTTTTTCGAAGAAATTGTATGAAATGACTTATTTTTATAGATATTCAAATCATTTACCATTTGAATAGAATAAAAAATCATATCTTATTTTAATAATTTTTAATGGAATGAAATTCCATTTTTTGTTCCCTAATTTTTTTTATTCTATTTATTTTATTTCCATTAATTCATAATTTTCATAAAATTGGGAACCAGTTGCAGCAAAGAATTCTATTCCAGAAAAAAATTTTTATTAATATTTGACCAAAAATAATTTGTTCATTAGGAAATGAAATGAATTTGATTTCATTATTATTGCATTTAATTCTTATCATTCTGTTTATTTTATTCTACTAATTCTATACTCCCTCTGTTTCACTATAAATATTATTTTAGAGTTGTGTACACGAATTAAGGAAATAATTAATAAATTTAATTATATAATAAAGTTAACCACATTTTAACAAATAAAAAAATTACATAATAAAATTAATAAATTTTGCATTAAAAATCGAAAATAGCACATATTTTATAATGAAAAAAATTCTCTACAATGACACTTGATATGAAACGGAGAGAGTATTAGTATACCAGTTACAACTTTAAATTTCAAAATTTGTAGAAAAAAAATATTTACACCATGTTTGGGTATTAACACAAATTGATTCAAAATCATAGGTAAGAATTAAAGTCCAAGACCCAAATCCTTATTGGCTTATTAGCTTTTTACAAAAAAAAAAAAAAATTCTTATTAGATAAGACAAAATTCAACAGTTTGTTAATTATTTTCGGATATGCAAACCGCATTAGTGATCATTTTAAAATACAAACACCAGTATCAATTTATTAGTGCTTATATTATTCGGAAACTGTTGCAGTCAACATGTTTGTTTGATGTTTCGAAATGAGAGTGGAATAAAAATCTACAAAAGAAACTATTCGCAGGAGTTCTTTTTTCACGTTACCCATGATCACAATTCACAAGGTCTTGGTCTTCTTCTTTTCTCCTTTTCATGTTGTCTGAACGTTCTTTGGTCTTACTTTTCTTTTTTTTTTACTTAATAAGAATAAGATTATATTTACTCCACATGACTTCCTTTATTCTAAAGCCCCACTTAAACGACAACGTCATGCAGCTACTGCTTTAACGTCGCCATGATGATGTCATCATCGATCTCTATCGTCCATTTATTAATGTTGAGGTCGACGATATCGACCGTTCAAAGTCCACACCGACGGCCTATAAAGAAAAGTATCATTATAATTCTCTCAAAAATAAAAATAGAACAGAATTATTTCTTGTGGCAGAGGATGAGCTCGGAGAAGAGACAAGAACGCCGTGAAGAAGATAACGGTGATGGACTCAGAGGGATGTTGTCAACGGAAGCTGTGCGTACGGTAACGGAGGAAGAGGTGGATGAGTTTTTCAAGATATTACGTAAAGTACACGTGGCGACAAGAACGGCTGCGAAAGTTAACGGCGCTGTCGATGAACGAGAGTTACCGTCTAAGAAGAGGAAACGGAGTCAGAGCCTTGAGTTGAGACACGGTAACGGCGTTGGAGACGGAGAATTCGATGGAACCAATCGTCTCGGTTTGGGTTTGGATTTGAACTGTAAACCGGAACCCGAAGCCGTTAGTTTGTAGTCCTTCTTCGTAGTTTTATTCATCTTTCTTCCTATTAATTAATTTTCAATATAACTAAATAATTTTTGACAATATAAATGTTGTTATAATAATGTCTTCATAGTCATGAGCATAAATCATAAAGGCTACCATCGAAGACCATAGGTCTTTGTTTTAACAATAAAAAAAAAGGAAGTTTGTGTTGGTAGTGAAATTGTTACGTTGTGGTCCATTCATGTACTATTAACTTGACTATACTATATTATACATCTCCTATATATTAATTGAGAAGCATTGGAACATGTTTTGGTAACCACGTATTATCATGAGAATGTTTCTCAAATTTACTAGAGAAAAATGTTAGTCCATATAAACATATAATATACCTTTTATTAAACTAAACATAAAACTATAAATTAATAAAACATTTTAAAATTTCACATATAATATTTTTGATTAGTAGTTTAAATCCCCTATAAATTAATCATGGAGAATTATAACATTTTTTTGTATCCACGTGACACAATGAGAATGATTTTCATAACTCTTAGAGAAATATGTTGGTTTAGTAGTGTACAAAAGAATATTTCATATTCTTTTCTTTGATAAAAGCTACGGAATTACCTAATATGATTAACATATATATCACAATTAATGTTTATGAATAATAAAGATTTGATAACAATTTTTTATCGTATTTAATTTTTATTTAATTTATATTATTAAAAGAAATTAAACAATCACATTAATCATATAATAAAATTAGTTTTGTTCTTATATGTTATATTTAAAATTTTTAAAACGATCATAAATTACTAAAAATGGTAAAAATCTCACAATGAAAATTTTGTGATCAGTGATAACGTTTTGTAGTTAAGTCAGTCGTTTTTCTAATGGGTCTTAAACAGTTCATAGTGATTAACTAAATGGATCGCGCATAATAGAGTGTGTTTAATTTAAAAACTATTGCACATTCAAAATCAATATGAACTATCATCCCTTTCGTTTAAATTTTTGTTACAATAAAAAATATATCGTTGGACAAAAAAAAATCCAGATAACCGAACCAAATCTAATCCAAAAAGTAGTAAAATATTTTAACCAAAATTTCTTAGATATCCAAATGGATTCGAATTTTGGTATCTAGAGAACCTAAACTGAATCGAAATATTTCGGGTATCCGAGTGTACTCGATCCATATTTATATACTTAAATATACAGAAATAGCATAAAAAAATCTTCAAAGTGGCACTCACTATCACTTTAAACCTTGAACTTATCTACCTAGCATATTAAACATCTAACTTAGTTTTTGTATCACAAAAAACCTTCAACCTGGCTTACTTGTTCATCAAGTTAAAATTGTGACCTGTTAACCTACAATAGCATGTCACATGTTTATTTTTTTTATTTAATAAATAAATACAATTAACAATAAAAAACCTAAAAAAAATTAGAAACTTACAGAAAAGTTTCTAAAATTGAATTTAATAAAATAAAAATATCTTCTTAATATATATATATATATATATATTTAAATGTAATTTTTGCAAAAAATATTTTTTTTTAAGTACAGAAAAATTCAAAATCTTAATTTAAAAAAAAAACAAAATATTTTCTTAAGAATTTACAAGTTTTTATTTTTATTCTAAATGAAATTTTGTGAAATATGAATGTAATTTTTTTATAAAAGTATAAAAAACTCTAAAATGTTATTTAAAAATAAATAGTCTGGATATACCACTAGTAAAATGAGCATTTTTTGTCATATCACAATTAATAATAATGTTTTGTAAGTTTTAAAGCATTTAATTTTGTTGATATCTTTAACGATGATAATTTCTTATATACATATAACAATGATTTTGACACTATTGTCATTATCGATATAACCAAATATGTTATTCTTAATTATGATATGACAAAGAGTGTTTAAGTTAATGGTGATAATGTTTAAAATTATTTATTTTTGTGAAAATATTAATAGCTTTTATATGATTTTTTTTAGTTTGCAAAGTTTCCAATTTAAAAAATTTGAAATTTTAAGAAAATATTTTGCTTTTTATTAAATTCAATTTTAGAAATTTTTCTGTAATTTTCTAATTTTATTTAGGGTTTTTTTATTATTAATTGCATTTATTAATTAAATAAAATTTTTAAAAAATCAACATGTGACCTATTATTGCAGGTTAACAAGTCATAATTTTAACTTGATGAACAAGTAAGCCAAATTGAAGGTTTTTAGTGATACAAAAGTCAAGTTGAATGTTTAATATGCTAGTTTAATAAGTTCAAGGTTTAAAGTGCTAGTGAATGCCACTTTGAAGATTTTTTTATGCTATTTTCCCTTAAATATATTAATTATTTTTAAATTTAACATCTAAGAATATAAAAATTACATGAGATTTTAAAAAATTTCTAAAATACTTAGAGATATATAAAATAGTTAAAAGTACATTTTAAAATAGCTAAACGATACTCTAAATACCAAAACTATTTGAAATATTTATAATTTTTTGTCCAAATATTTAAGATAAACCAATATTATGTTAAGTTTAAGTATTTTGGCATTCATTTTTCAAATTTATATGTTATATATTATTTTTACTTTTAGATTATGAAAATTTTAAATTATATATGAATTTTAATCTTTAAAAAAAAATTAAATGGGTTATTCGAACCTAAACTCAATCCGTACTTGCAAAGATTCGAACCAAACTGCAAAAATCTAAACCAAATAGAATCTAACCGAACCAATGGTACCCAGATGTCCACCCGTAATCAAATATAAAAAAGATTATTGATAGCAAAATATGTATTTAAATACAACATATTTTTAAAATGCTCACTCCATGGCACGGATTATCATCTAGTCTTATATTATTAAGGAAATGGATTAGAGATTGATATTTTTAACAATGCATTTGATAGTGTTTCTTTGACTTGCATCCTATTCAAGTTTCTTTATTTTTCTACGGATAATGGGCCTTATGAAAAGTTGGCCTAATGATACTTTCGGCCTGTTAGACATGCTCTAGTAATAAATCAAGTATTTTAGGATCCATAAAATTATCTTTAAAAAATAGCATAAAAAATTTTCAAACTGTCACTAGTAACACTTTAAACCTAGAACTTATTTAACTAACATATTAAACATTCAATTTGGCTTTTATATCCTAAAAAATCTTCAACTTGGCTTACTTGTTTATCAAGTTAAAATTGTGATTTGTCAAGGTTAATTTTTTTTTAAAAAATTATTTAAATAATAAATGCAATGAACAATAAAAACTCTAAATTTTTTTAGAAAATTACAGAAAAATTCTAAAATTGAACGTAATAAAAATCAAAATATTTTCTTAAAATTTTGCTAACTAATTTTTTTTTAAATCATATAAAAGCTATTAAATATTCTCACAAAAATAAATAATTTTAAACATTATCACCATTAACTTGAACACTCTTTGTCATATCATCATTAACATATTTGGTTATATCGATAATGACAATAGTGTCAAAATTATTGTTATCTGTATACTAGATTTATCATCCTTAAAGATATCACCAAAACTAAACGCTTTAAAACTTACAAAACGTTATTATTAATTGTGATATGACAAAAAGTGCTCCTTTTACTTGTGATATATCCACACTATTTATTTTTAAACAACATTTTAGAGATTTATATAATTTTATAAAAACTTACATTCATATTTCACAAAATTTCATATAGAATAAAAATAAAACACTTGTAAATTCTTAAAAAATATATATATTTTTTTAAAATTAAGATTTTGATTTTTTTCTGTACTTAATTTTTTTTGTTGCATAACTTGCATTTTAAAAGAAGAATTATATTTTAAGTAGATATTTTTATTTTTATTAAATTCAATTTTAGAAAATTTTCTATAAATTTTCTAATTTTATTTAGGTTTTTATTGTTAGTTGTATTTATTTATTAAATAAAATAAAAATCAACATGTGACCTACTATTTTAGGTTAATATGTCACATTTTTAACTTGATAAATAAGTAAACCATGTTGAAGATTTTTTGTGATACAAAAACCAAATTGAATGTTTAATATGCTAGTTAAATAAGTTCAAGGTTTAAAGTGCTAGTGAGTGCCACTCGAATGTTTTTTTATGTTATTTTCCCAATTATCTAGTATATATGTCCTTCAATTTAGGAGATGTAATTCTACAAATCATGTACTAAGAAACGTGTACGTAACTGTGTTATTTTTTATATCTCTTATTAAAATAGAATCCTTTCCAAAGACCCAATATTTTTTTTCTGTAAATTTTTAAACGAAAAATACTCATCCAAATGAACTAAATACTCATTCTCTTATACTACTACTTAAGGTGTTTTCAAACAATACAATTATTAAACTCGTATTCAAACAATATAAAATATCATATTTTAATAAAACAATTTCTTCTTTTAATGCTATCGCTAAAATATTCAGTTAATTTATGAGAAAAATAAAAAATAAGTATAACTATTTTTTCACAGATTTAGATACTGCAAAATAATTTCATTTAATATCTCTATTATTAAAGCATAATTCCTTCCATGGACCCAACCTTTTTTAAGCTTTAAAATTAATATACCTTTCTACTATATAGTTAAAACACACATCAATTAACTTATGAAACAAATTCAAAATTGAGTATAACTATTTATCACCGGTGTAAATCTTGCAAAATAAATTTATTTATTTTTCCATAAATAAAATTTGTATTCATTTAAATTTAATAATTTTTTCTTATTACATATTTTGGTACATTTGTTTTTCTTCTTAAGAGAATATAACTATTAATGCGAGGTTATGCTTGGTTTAAGTTGACATCGAATCATTTTTATATAAAAAAAATGTTAAAGTCAATAAATCGACATCAAATAAGTTTTATAAATTTAAAGTTATTAAATCAGTATATGTAACACCTTTAATCAAAACAATTACAGAGATTTTATTAAAAATGCATGAGAAACTGGTTGAAATAATATAAAAATAAAATTAAGCAATATATAATCTTCATATTTAATATGAATACACATAATATAATTATATAGATTCAAATACACTAACATTTAAATGTTTAAATATTACTTACAAAATGTAAGAAATATATTTATTTTATAGATTAGACTTTTTTCAAAAAAATTCTGCGCTTTTAAGCTTAAATCAAAATCTAGTAAATGTTTAAATCTGATTATAAATCATTGTAATATTAACTGATGAGTGGTCAGGTGGCTTAAGCAAGTTAAGCTCATTGGTTCAGATTCATCTAGGCTTGTTAAGAACTAAAGGTTTATAAACCAATGAAA